TACGCAAACTAGGCGATGACGTCATTTAGCGACTTCCAGGACGCCAGAGCGTCTGTTTGCAGTAGTTCTTGATGTAGAAAAGTCCTGTGACATGCTGAGTAAGCAAGGCTTGTTAAGTAAATCATACACTATAGGTGTATGGTTGGATTGAAAACTTAAATTAAGAAGTTGTGAATGAGGTTTGGAATGGGGATTCAGATTTCTGTGGTAAAAACACTTTTTTAATTGGAAGATAAAAAAAGATCAGGAGTCAATAAGCCTTAGGACTCCTGCATCGGCATTGCAGGTAGAAATGAACGAAACGCCACTGGACAGAACACAGTCATCGATAAATTACTGGGCAAAAATTAGGTCATTAAAACATCAACATGCTGAAGTTAAGTGCAAAACTGAAATGAAACAGAAATGGCAGAAGAGAGAAGGACAGATAAAAGAAAGGAAGACATTATCATGAAATACAAAAGAAAGTTGGAGAAATGAAAGAAACTAGCAGAAGGAAGGAAGAGGAAGATGGCATAATGAGGTTTGGACACTCGGGTCTTAGAAGCACATAAATAATATATAAAGATCCAAAAGACACCTGTCAGTACTAAAGTGAAAGGAAACAATAGAACACGTCATTTCTCATTTAGAGAAAGTAAAGATTAGGTTGGAGTTCACACAACTGATGCAACTTAATTCACAGTTTAGTTTATAGGGAAAGACAACTGTGATACATTAAACATGGGGATCCAGTAGAACTGTCATTTCAGTCCACATTCCTTTCAGAAGGCGGCGGCGATGAACAGAAAAGCTGCCTGACAATAAAAACAACAATAGCGGAAGTAGGGCGTGAAAGAGAAAGCTAGGATTAACTTTGCTCCTTCCAATCCCGGAACCGCTGGCCCGACAGTAAAGAACTCTCTTCGCTTCTACACGATTCACGTGGATGACGGCGAATTTCGCATCCAAAAGCTTGCAGGTATCAACTACTTTCGGGGCAAATCGACCATCACTTGATAGTTTATATGTAGGCCTACGAATGGCGACACAAAAGGCGCAACCTGTGCAACTGTTGCGTTTCCGGGACTTCTTTCCGATAAAGTTACACTTTCACATTAGAACCTTCGTCTATAATAATACTACTACTGTGATGTTACTATATGTTACTGGTTACTGTTAAGGTAAAGAACTCCATCACCCAGCATTCCCTAGTCAGTGGTGAGGGACATGCGCAGTGCGGAGCGCGGCAGACCCCGGGTAGCATTACAGCGGACTGTGCTAGTTGACATTAAAAGTTCATGAAACGTATATCACGCCTCGCCTGCTTCTTATAAGATTAAGCAAGATACAACAACTACTACTTTTTATATCGCTTTTCTGGGTACCCAAAGCCACTTAAGTTCGGTAAAGTTAGCAATATATTCGCAGATTCAGACTTCACGGTTCAATAGCTCGTCAGCGAAACGTTGTTGAAACACAAACGACACCTCACTGTAACCGTAGTGATGTTGACAACCAGCTACAACCATAATAATCCATAATTTTACCAATACGGACCGGTGCAGGGTCTGTACAAATCACATTGATCTTAATGGGTGGCTGCCCGTGAAACGAGTGCGCAGGGACCGTCTACAAAGTGCAATGCAGACAAACACATTACAGAAATATTCAATAACTTCACTATTATGTATGGTAGCATCCCCACAATAATGTCATAGGTCCATGGCATTGTACCTGTTGTACTACACGTTTTACTATGTTTGAAAATGTCTTTGTTTGACTATGTCCAAATGACTATGTTTGAAAATGTCTTTGTTTGACTATGTCCAAATGACTATGTTTGAAAAGCCCATTGACATATGACACGATTTTAGTGGTTCTAGGGTCCATAACAGTGGGGTTATTGAACGTCATAAATATTGAATAATATTCATTAAAAATAGTCTGAAGCAATTTCTATACAAAGTAAAAGGTGTAGTACAATGGGTACACGATCATAGACATATGCTATGAGTTCGTGGTTCTAGGGTCAGGGGCAGCAAGGAGAGTCGATATTGCCTACTCATGATTGTTAGTTGTCGCGAACGGCCTTGAACTATTTTAGAGAATTCGAACGGCGCTTACACTACTTCCATCAGGAGAAACTCGTTCCAAATTGACAATACGTTTTTACATCTGCATAACATTGAAATAATGCAAAGTCATCTGGTTTTGAAGGTTCCAAAAAGGACTATTTGAATCTAGCCTAAACCCCTTGATTTTCTGTTGTTTGGAAACTGGAAACTTTGTTTGCAGTTTCTACTTATTTAATGCGACTATGAGTGAAACCTCTTCAAGAAAACCTGTCTTACTTTGTGGTGGTAGTTCTCATGGAGGTTGTCATCAGCATCAAAGCTTTGTGTGTAACTTTGTGTGTAACAAGCATGATGAAGAACACAAAGAGCATCGCAGTGTGAAGACACACTGTAGATTGTTGGTGTGATGATGATGTTTGAGCCTCTTCTCCTCTGTCTCCTCTCACAGGGAGGAGATGATCTGCAGCATCCTGGTGATCTTCATCCTGACCTCCTGTGTCTGTGGTCAGTTCACTTTTGTGTTTGTGAAGCAGCTGTGAAGCATCAGCATACACTCCTCAGAAACATCTGGAGATGGAGTCTAAAGGCTCCATGTTAAAGCTGTCACTTTGTCACCTCCTCCTCTCCTTCTCTGTCTCCTCAGCAGGGTCATTTGTAGTGAATGTGACACAGAGCTGGTATCATGCAGAGGAGAACCACAACATCTCACTGGAATGGGTGTTCCCCACCAGCACGGACCCCTCCCCCAACAGCCTTCATGTCTCCTGTAAGATGTTAACTCCTGTGAGACCCTTTGTCCTGTTTGAGCTACATGAAGGTGTCGAGGTCCCAGAGCTGCAGGATGAACGCTTTACAGGACGAGTCCAGTGGGACAAAGACGTCCTCAGAGAAGGACGACTCAGACTTCACATCTCCAGACTCCAGACTAATGACTCGGGGCTGTACTGGTGTGAAGTGCTCACAAGTTATGGGATGAGCTCTAAGGAATGTCACCTCAACGTCACTGGTAGGTTCATTAAGTTAAACTTCTAACCTGCTTTATTCAGATAAATGAACATTTTCTTTACATTAATAAAACAGATTTGTTGTGTCTATTTGCAGCAGTGAAGGATCGACCCGAACCTGAGACAACGAGTGACACCAAACTGGAAAGGATCACTCTCTACTGTGCACTGGGAGTGGGACTGACAACTCTGGTCTTTTCTTTATTTTATCTCTGCTTTGTAAAAAATCTTGGAGTGTTTCCAAAGAACGAATTTGAGGTGTTCTGACTGAAGTCCACCTGAGACACATCTGGATCTGTCTGAGGTCTCTCTGTGGATCAACAGCAGCATGAAGGAATAAGTGGTCTACAGAAAATATTAGATTCAGGGAGCCCAGCTTGTGAACAGGACTAATATATATATATATATATATATATATATAAATAAATGAATGAATAAGGGCATGGTATATTAACACGCTTGTCACTCTTGTGGTGAAAATTTGTGGAACTTTCACTTGTCACTTTCTGTTCGCTGGTGCACTTTATTTTTAATTTTTAAATATTTTTAACTCAACTTTTATCTTTTATTCCTTTATTTTTAGACTAACCCATAGCATTTTATTTTATCCCTCTTGCACTGTTGTCTTGTCGTCCATTGTCTGACATATTATGGCTATAAATGTTTCCTGATCCTATTATTACATTTTTTTAGCATTTGGTGGGGCTGCTGCACAGACTTTTTTTTTGTTTCTTCCTGAAATTTGACTTTGGACAAAATTGTAATATGCAATTACAGTGGAAATCTAAGATGTATGTAAAATGAAGGAATGCATAGTGAAATAAAATATATACATACTTACATATTTCATATTTCTGTCAACGTTGGGAGTTGAACTGCAGGTTTCTTCGTGGGGAAACTCAATTTCATAGATCTGTCGACTCAATTAACTAATGTATTAGTCAATTTAAATACTATTTATGTTAAATGGACTCAATATAATAGAATTCTAAATTCTAACAGCCATAAAAGGCAAATAGCTGTAATTATTTTTCAATCAAAACACAAATGTCGACCAAGCCATGTTACTCACAGCTATATTTTGAGTATAAACTAAGTAAAATCACAAACATGTCGAGTTACCGTCCAATTGTATTTATTCCACAGAAGAGACAATGGTGGGCAGAGCCGGAGGTCGGGCAGAGGTCAGAGGTCACCCCGATCTGCCCGCACACAAATGAAACAGGAGACGAGAGAACCTGAAACCGTAGCGTTGTTCATCAAATACACAAAGTGGTTTCATCAGCGGACCATCGGTATACTGGTACGGACAAAATAATGAAAACACTTTTTAAAGCATTTAGGAGTATATTATAACTTAATGAGTGGTTCATAACACTTCATGTTTTGGAAGTTGTAAACAGTTACACATATATGACTATAGCCCATCCTATGAAGCATGTATAATATGTATAAATGCTTAAAAACAGAACAGAAATGTGAAAGATCCTGACTGTTTATGTGACTGTTTATGTAATACTCATGTATTTGCAGGCAGGATTAATAATGTTTATGATTTTAATCTAAAACCCAAACGTATGTTTATAACAACGTTATGTTCTTTAAAGATTCCATCATTATCCAAATATAGATGCTTTATAATGTAGGGGGTGTTAACCTATTAAATATCTTATGAATTACTTTAAAGCAATCACAGTTATTAAGTGTTTATGATGCTTACAAATGCTAAATAACAGGGTGAATTTAAACACATGAGCATGTCAAGCCCAAATCTAAAACTGCATACATCCAAAATATATTTTAATCATTGCCACCGCATATTTTGACATTTAAAATTGTTTATGTCCGTCAGAGACCTACGTCTGACATCCAGTTTGGATTTATCAATCATTAAATCATATAGATCTTTGTACAACTTATTAATAAGGCACCTATTATGCAAGATGTATAGATTTATTAATGACTTAACAGTTTAATAAAAGTCCCGTTGCTGTTTAAACGGTTTGTAATCAACTCATAATTACCCATGCGGTTTCCTCATATCTTCTAATAACAAGATGAATAGTCATTTCTGCATTTATTCATCTGAAGTTATTTTCTAGCTACATTGACACTCAGGTTAGCGGTTTGCTCCCATTCTTTGTGCTAAGCTAAAGCTAAAGCTAAATAAAACATAAAACATGGTGGGGTGTCGACCTTACGTCCTACTCTCCAAAAGGGAAAACTGTTCCTTTAACCATTAATAAAGTCATTTGTTAAAAACGTATTTCTTCTTCTTAAGAAGGTGCTTTATTAAAAAGTGGTAACACAAGAAAAACCTCCGCAGTAATTAAAACACTGGACTGTGCATTTCAAAAACTACCCCGGATAAGTCTTATTCAAAACGTGGCAATAATTGTAATATTCTCAGATATAATCAGCGGAATCTATGGATATATATTTCCTTTAAACAGCGACGACGTAGCGGACAACATGACTGTTTTTATCACCGTGAAGCGTGACGGTTACGAAGCTCCGATCCGACTGGACGACATGCGGCGGCTCTTAAACTGAGCCGCTTCCTTCCCGCCTTTTTTTAAAACGCTCTTCATGCTGAGAAAAGACTCCGGTTTATGAAAACGAGTCCCTTGAAGCGCCCGGCGGGTTGTGAGGAGAGCGGAGCTCGGGTACAAACAGCTCTCACCAGGTGTGCGTTTGTGTGTCCATTGTGCCCCCTGCTGTGATCGTGGCTGTGACTAACAACAATATTGCACTGGTAAGAAAAACATAATTTAAAAAAACGACCAAAATGATGAAATAAAACCCCTTCCTGTGTTGGTCCGTAGCCGTGACGACCACCGAAGCCACAAATAAAAATGCTACATTTCTTCAAATATATTTCACCTGAAATTTCCAGAACATCATAATGATCTTTAGGTAAATAAATAGTTCTCCACCATATAAGTCCTACATATACATCTGTACAGTATGTACACTGAGCAGCCTCACAATCCAAACGGCAGACATTCAACAAACGGGTTGGGAGCCAAAAACATGGCGTTCACTACACAGCAGAAGCTCAAGCTCCGTAAAAAGCTTATTGTCAACGATTAGAGCGACACGCCCGACCTCTAAAAGTCCTTCTCAGACGCAGATAACAGATCGAAACAGGAGTAGAATCTCCGACATCCGGTCGAGGAAGTGAGTTACATCCTTCTCACTCAAAACACATGGCTGGGTAGAGTCTAAATCAGGGGGGTTCAAACTGGGAGGATCAACACCCAGATGTTCAGATTCCTTCTCAAAGCTGCAGGATTTGCCGCAGAAACACCTTTTTTTGTGTGCGTTTCAAAGCGCCGATGGCGGATGTCTGTACGCTTCACTGGCACAACGTGGACAGGAAGTGCCAACACCTTCGCCGGCACACTTTTTATTTGCCGAAACACAAAACATTCCAGCCGAACACCTTTCTTCCCGTTCACGTCCTGATGATCTTCCAACCAGAAGTAAGAGAACGGTGAATGAGAGGAAGATGGAGGTGTCACACTTTGGAAAACCCCCCCTGGTCTAAACGCTCTCCTCTAAAGCTCTGCACTGTTTGGCACATTTACCTAAATTATCATTATTACCCTGAAACCAATAAAAAGTGTCATGCACTACAGAGGTGTTCAGATGTAGCAACACGAGATGGTAACTACTGGATATTTCCACCGTTGACTAGTGCAATAAACGATGAGGTTACACAGTTGATTAACTACAGTATTCGGAGGATGGTTTTGGCTTTTGGTGGAGGGCTGAAGACGATGTCGATCACGCGCGCTCCTCGTTGTGCGGTGCAAGCCGAGCGCACATCGACGGCGTCGACGACCCGAAGCTCTCCGGCTTTCAGAGGAGACGTTCACACCTTCTCAAGTCCGTAGCAAAACAACAGTCAGACGCACGGAAGATTATTTAATACGGCTTTTTTCTCCTGTTCATACTGATTGAATTTACCTCGACATATATCATAGTTTACCATGTTTTCTGGTAGGTCCCATGTACAAATAGTCTATTTGGAATAACCGGCCTTTGAACACTACTGTGTGAATTAAATATTTCATGGATCTCTTCTTCTTGTGCTTCCAGTGAACGTGATGAAGGACAAAAGCGTCGATCTGAAGCCGATGTGCGTAAACATCTTTTCTTTGTGGTGCTACACTGACATCCCCAAAGGAAAGTAGAGAACCATCTGTTGTTACAGTGGAAACGTATATAATGAAAACTAAAGAGGGCCCAGGATGGAGCCTTGGGGGACACCAGAGGAGACAGAAGGCCTTACCTGAAGTCCAGGATTATCATAAATTTAAAATATTAGGACTTCTGGAGTCTAAAAAGTCTAAAGTTTCAGTAAACAGCTGTTTCACTCTTCAATCGGGCTCTCGACTTTTGCTTGAGTTTTGAGACAGACTTTGAAGAAGAGTGAACCTCTCCTACAAAGATGGAGGGTGTGTTGTTGGATCGGAGATGTGTGTTTGCTTCTTCTTCTACGTCCTCTTTGTATAAAAACATACAGTCCAGTAGACAGAAGCAGCAGTGGCGTCTGCTCCCACGAGGGCGCCGGGGATTTTTCTTCCACATCCACCACAGAAAAGATCGATCTGAATCACTTCTGTCCCGTTTTGGTAAAAATACTGAAAAATGTCCAGGTCACTGTGAGTGGAAACTCAGCGCCTCTAAACACCGACTCAGCACAAACACCACCTTTGTCCTCCGTCAGTCCGTCCAGACGAGCAAAAGGCCGGGGAGTGTGTGCGTGTGTGTGTGTCCAGCAGCAGCACGGGTGGAGAACAGAACGCCCCCAGCGGGTGGATGGGAGGTATTGCAAGCGGATGAATATATAAAGGGATCGTTGCGGTGGACTGCACAGAGTCTTGTTGCTGTAACGCTGCATGCCCTGTTTGTCTGCTGAGTGCGGGTGGATGTTAAGGCCTCGGATGGCCCAGAGGCCACGCAGAAAGGGAAAATACTCGGTGTACTATACGGAGTACTAACGGAGTACTAACGGAGCCTCTCGGTGAGGAACAAAGTTGTCCTGTGACTCAGACGAGAAGCAAGACCATCGGTTAACCAGAACTACTAAAAAGACACATTTTCTCAATTAGTCGCATTGACATTTAAAGCGCGTCAGCACGCTGGCCTGCGTCCGCTGAAGGTCACCGTGCTCATGTTGGACGTGTGTACTGTTGACATTTAATAAAGTTCAGCTTTGTTGTGAGTGGTTGAGTTTGAGCCGCTTTCTGTATTAACAAACCAACAAGTACTGGATGGAAACCAGAGAGAAAATGTGTCTTTTGTCTGATTTCAGTATCCAGCTCTTACTCGTCGTCCTTTCTGGGCGAAGTCGCTGCCGCTCGGTGGGACTGAAGCAGGCGAAAGCTCATCGGCTCTGCAGGTTGTCCTGAGCTCATGGATGCTTGGAGGGGGGGGGGGGGGGGTCCCGTTAGACGAGACTAGTTTAAGGCTTACATTATATCATTTAGTCCTTAACTTTAGTTAATGATGTATCCTATAAAAGTAGTACAGTAAAAGAGTCATGCTACAGAGTATTCTAAAATACAAACCCCCCCGTTCCTCCCCCCTCCCTGATCTCTGGTCTGCGTCCAGTCCAGAGATCACGGCGGGTCCTTCATTTAGGGCCGAGCGACCCCCCCGCTGCCCTCCTTGGCGCTGCCGCTGCGGCCCCAGCAGCCCGCCGCTATGCTCATGCTCCTCTGGGTCGCCGCCCCGACCCCCCGGTCCCGCTCCACCTCGCACTGGCTCTGGGTCCGCTCGGTCCGGCCCGGCAGGCCGGGGGAGGCCGGCCCGCCCCCCCCGGCCTGCTGAGAGGAGATGGTGCGGAAGATGTGGTTGCGCTTGCGGAGGAACTCGCCGCCGGCGGCGCCGAGGCCGAAGCTGCCCTTGCGGAGGACCATGCGGGTGCTGGCGGACTTGGCGGGCCGGGACCTCTGGTTGTACTCCAGCTGGGACAAGTGGGAGGCGTAGCCGTCCGGGATGAACTGGGGAGACGTCAAGCAGACTGGGTTCACTGGTCCGTCACCACTCGCACACAACGTCACTTATCAGACGTTTTTAAACAAGATTCAACAGAATAAAACACACCAGCTTATAAAATGTCCCGTTGGGACATTTCACGTCTAAACTGCTCAGCTGGTTTTGTGTTAAAAAATAACAATGATCCAAAATGAAAACTATTTAAAAAAAATAAAGCAGTCAAAAAGTTGTTAAAATGTAAATTGTTCACTCGTTCTTAATCATCTGTGGATATTCGTTCCTTCGCACCTCTTTTATTCATTTTACTCAATGAAAACTATTTCATGTTCTCGTTTAATGATTGGAAATGGGCTCGACAAAGAAAAACTTTCGCTAAAATGAACTCAGCATTGACTCTGGGATTAAGGACCTTCGGCCTACCTGACACTGGTGCTGCAGCCTCTTGGTGGGCCTCCCCACGATGTAGATGTGTGAGGGGGGCAGGCCGAGGGACGAGTACACCGAGATGTCCTTGGTGGAGCCGTAGGCTGCGAAGATCCTCATCTGGGCCTGAACAGAGAGGAGGGGGGGCACGTTGGAGACCTCCGGCACGTCGTCGGGGAGGAGAAAACAAAAAGTCGTACCTCGCTGACGAGGCTCTTGAGGAAGTTGGCCTTGTGGCGGAGGGGGTCGTGGACCAGCCCGTCGCAGAAGGACACGATGCCGTGGGGGAAGTTGTGCTGAGAGAGCCAGGCCACCACGCGCTGCTTCTGCATGTCGGGGCGACCCGTCACGTAGACGATCACGTAGCCCAAGTCCTGCCAGTACCTGCAGGGACACGAGGAGCAACAACCACGCAGAGGGAAACGGCGCGTCAGGCCTGATGAAGGAGGCGCAGAACCGGAGGAAACACGGAATGCTGCACTGTGAGCTGACGAGGGAACCACACATATGTTTGAGTGACACCGAGGCGAGCCCGTCAGCACGGCTCTATCGGCCAAGCTAACGGATGTCCTCGCTCAGTGGATTGCCGCCAGCGTGATAGAAGATGACTGGCTCGAGCTTGTTCTTCAGGCGGCCACAGGTGATCCAGCCTACAAACTACCTGCTAGGCGAACTACCATGAGCAGCACGGCCCTGGTCTAATGTGCCACCTGGCGCGAGAAACCCGTTTCTCAAAGACTGACTTTTAGTAATTATTTGGGTAGCAGACATATTCTAAATGCCTTCGGCAGAATTAAAATGAGCTATTTTAATCTAGATTAATCTAGATTAATTCCAAGATTACAGTAAAATTAATCTAGATTAAATAAATTAATCTATGCCCACCACTAATATATATATATATACGCTGTATGTTACCGTGGGATGCGTGTGGGATGCGTGTGGGACGCGTGTGCGAGGCCCTCACCTCACCACATCCACGGCTCCAGCTCGGACCTTCGGGTCGCTCCCCATGATGGAAACGCTGGCGGCGAACGAGCCGTCGATGCTGAACACGACGAACTCGGTTCCCCGGGGCACGACGGAGAGGTAGCTGTCCGCCACCGTGTGGTCGCCCCTGGGGCGGGAGGGAGGAGGAGGGGGGGAGACGGGCGTCACGACCAAAAAGCAGCAGATTTAAAGCCGCCTTGAGAGGAAAAAGTGAAAACTCTGCACACCTGACCACCATTTTGACGGGATAGACCCCGATGCCCAGCTTCCGTCCCTCGGGGATCAGGTGGGAGACGCGGCCGCTGCTGTTGGTGAGCTCCGTGCTGAAGAACACCCACTCCCCGGAGGGGGGCTGCGTCATGATGTGCACGTCGACCTGCAGGGAGAAACGCAAAAGGTCCTGTGAAGGCTGCCGGGCCTCAACGAGACACTCGCAGACACATCACTCGGGGTTTCTGGTTCCGTACCTTCTCGCCGGTCAGCGTGACCATGTCCAGCGGGCCGTACATGAAGCGCCCCGTCACCATCTGGGCTCCGTCCTCCGTGAACACGGCGTCGTTCACCCGGTGGTTGGCCGTCACGTTCTGAGGGAAGACGTGTGATGGAGTATGACGCTGACTGAGTAGTAAAGTACACGTATGTCTATATTGTAGTAGTGAATCCAGCAGAACACTAGAGACACTTCTTTAATTATGTATCATTTATTGAGTTAAAAGAAAAGGGATGTGGATGCAAACCGAACGGTAGAAATAGATCATCACGTCAATATTCAGGTGTGCAGGAAACGGGACAGAGACCGTACCCTGATTTTAACATGAGTCCTCTTGCGGAGCCACTTCTCTCGAGGTTTGGACGGAGTGAATTCAGACACTTCTTTACCGTCCAGCTCCAGAATGCTGGAGTTCTCGTGTCGCATCACCTGGGGAGGATTGTTCATTTTACTTCAAAAGGGCCCATGACATTTATCTGTATTTATCCTGCTGGTTTTAAATGATTCTGCTCATCACACATGTGTTCAGCCACAGCTCAAAATGATATATTCTATATATCAAGTCATTGCAGGACACATTGCTTCGTACATTTTACAAAACTCCAGAGTGCAGCTGAAAATTAATTAATTTATTATCCACAAAAATTGTAGAATAAAGAAATTGTATAACAAAGCAGATATGAGGAAATAATACTTTCATGCTAATGTCAGTATGCTAACATGCTGCGATGACAATGCTAAGATGCTAGCATGATGTCATCCATGTTCATCATCAATTAACATACAAAATATTTGGACCAGATAAACGGAATAAATTAAACATAGTTAGGAAGCAAAGCCTCAACAAAAGTCAGAAGGGTTCATCATCTGGAGAACATCTATGGAACTACATTTCGTCCTCATCGAACAAACACACTTTCAATCTTAAAGGACGAAATAATAACAGCAAGAACCTGTCGCAGCAAGAAGGAGACCACGTCCGTGGACTCCCAGTAGGAGGCGTGGAAGAGATGCGGCAGGGCCACTGTGGGGAACGCCGTCAGGGCGTCGGGGCAGTACAGGGCGTAGTCCATCCTCTTACTGCCCCACCACCGAGCGGCAACTGCAGGGGACAGACGAGCAGAGACGGAGCTCAGGGACAGCTGCTAGCCTGAAGGGTGGAGGATTCAGAGGGTTCACGGGGAGGCGGAGGACCACACGGCGAGGAGCTGCTGGGAGGGGTTGAAACGCAAAACTCAGCCTCTGAGAACCTTCTCTGCTCTGAGAGAAGGTCGTGGGTCTGGTTTGACACTGGAGGACAACAAGGACTATGAGGGGACTATCCGAGAGGAGGAAGGACAGGTCACAGGGAACGAGGATGGAGCGTGGCGCCCGTCCCTCGCGTCCTCCCCGGGTACCTTTCTCCATGTTCTTCAGGAGCTCTGGCGACGGGGGGGCCGAGCTGAAGTCGGCGCTGTCGGCTGCGAGGTCAGAGGTCACGGGCTCCGACCTGGGGAACACCTGGCGGACTGTCTTTCTGGAGCGCAGGGAGGAGCTGCGAGAGGCCAACCTACTGTAGGGGAGGGCCAGCTGGGCGAGCAGGCCGGGCCTCTTACAGGGGCCGGCATCGGGCTCGCGTGCTGACGGGGGGGGGTGGGGGGAAGCTTGTCGGGGGGGGAGGAAACAAGAGCGTCAACGTGTCAAACTGTCGGCGCGCGCGGAACCCCCCCGAAAGCAGACGCACGCGGGCGGCGGTGGACTCACTGGTGGCGATGTTGGAGGCGGTGTAGGAGTCGGCCATGCCGGACACCTGGCTGGCGATGCTGGCCTCGCTGGCCCGCCGGTGGCAGCGGAGGTGGGGGAGACCCGGGGAGGTGGGCGACGGGACCTGGCCGTCCACGAAAACGTGCGAGGGAAGAGAGTCGGCTGCGGGGGGGCGGGCAGAAAGTGGGAGGAGTTAAGGTTTGCTTTCGCCTGCAGGCATGAAGAAGAAATAACAAAAGTTCTGAAGCACGACCCAGAAACAAAGAGTCTGTTGATCAGCAGCTTCTTCATAACGAGTGTAAAGCTGCTACTTGCATGGAGCGGTAAACAGAACCTGAGAGGCAGCAAAGGCTTTAGAAGACAATCCAACAGGAAAAGTGCATCAGAAACATCTCCAATTATCCCTGATTGCACAAGAAAGAGTGTTTGTACCAAAGTCCATCGAAAACGAAAGTAAGAGGAATGATTTTAGTTTCATCAGACATCAATCTATTTGTTTTGTTACTAGATCTCGTTACTAGATTAGAGTTAGATGAGAAGCCAGCATCGCTGAAGCGGTTATCTTAGCTTAGCGTCAGCTGACCTGGATACACACCGTCGGTGAGGAGCTGCCAGTTGAGGACGGGCACGGGGATGGACGTCTCGGTGACGCTGCTGTCCTGGTAGCGCTGGGACATCGAACCGACGGACTCCATCAGCAGCTGGGGGTTACTCTGCACGGTCTCCACTAGAGGAAAGGGGGGAGGGGAACATCACCGACGTGCAGACCGGCGAGGCGGCGAAGCGCCCCTCGTGAAGGACTCTGGGACTCACCCAGCAGGGCCGAGTGTCCGTCGCCCAGAGGGAAGCGCTGGTAGCGCGGCACGCTGAAGGGGGGCAGCAGGTGGAAGCGCTTGTCGAGGAGGGGCTCGAGGCGCGAGGCCGACGGGTCGGCGGGGTGGAACAGGTTGTAGACCTGCTGGCAGGCCGGACGCAGGGCGGACACTGCAGAGCAGAGGGGGGGGGGGGGGGGGGGGAAAATCTAAACAAACTCACCCGTCTCTCGCAACAGGAAGAGAAGCCGGCGCAAACGGCCTTCCTCACCGTCCAACGTGGGCACCGCAGTCTTCCTCAGCGCCAGCACCAGCCCCAGGGGAGAGCCGAACGTGAAGAAGTCCGTCACCTCAAAGTCAAACTTCCCCAGAGAGCCTCCTTCCAGCATCGTGCTGCCGCTGGAGCGCCGCGAGCCGGGCTCCCCGAGCAGCGCGCTGGAGTGGAGGCTGAAAGCACCGTCGGACGGCATGAAAGGGATTTGATTCATTTAAAGACAATTTATGGACTAAATTAATCTAAAATACTCAAAGAAAAATCTAAAAGAAACACAAATTCGTCGCTGAAAGTTCACGGATCTTAATCTTCCTCCAGACCTTCGTCAAATAAATGTCCGTGTGCAGTGCTAATGCTAATGCTAATGCGCGGACGCACCTGGACAGGAAGGCCTGGTGGTGCTTGATGGTGTCCAGCTCGTAGGTGGAGGAGTCGCTGCGCTTGCGCGGAAGCGGCCTCTTGGGGTCGTCGGGGCCCGAGCAGCGGGGGATGTCGATGTTGCTGCGGCTGAGGTGGCGGCTTCCCTCGAGGGACGGGGCGACGCTGTTGATGACGATGCCCGGCGAGAGGAGCTCCGTGTCCTGGGAGACGGAGACGGACGCGATGTGCTCCACAGCTAATCGGCTGGAGGCTTTTGCTCCGGGTGCGTCGACGTCGGAGAGGCCGCTTACCTGCACGCTGATGGCGCTGCCCCGCCTGCTGCTGTTCTGGCTCTCCGACACCGTCACCGAGCTGCTGCACAGGGCGTCGAAGCCCAGGATCCCGCCCACGCAGTCCCCGATGACGCACACCTGCAGGAACAGCGAGCCGCGTCAACCCGCTTTCGTCGGTACGCGGGGCGGGGGCGGACAGCGCCGGGAGGCTCACCTGGCCGTTGAAAGACGCTCCCTCCAGAGACCGGACGAAGTCGCCGTACACCTGGTTGGCTCGCAGGATGACCGCCGCCACGGCGTCCTGGTACTGCGGCGCCGACGTGGCCAGAAGAGGCAGCGCAGCCAGAGGGATGTGGTCCTGGCTGCTGGACAGGCAGCCCTCGTCGTAGCTGTAGGGGCTGAGGCTGCAGGGAGGAGGAGGAGGAAGAGGAGGAGGTGTTGACACCTGTGCGGGTCATTTACGACGCTCGCTCATTGATGAAGAGTGGCGGCTCACTTGGAGACGAGTGAGAAGGCGTCGACGCACACGGCGGGACAGGGCACCATCCGGATGGCGATGCGGCCCAGCGCCGCCGGGTAGTGGACCCCCATCACCGTCTCGAAGGCTCCGCTCAGCGTGTTCAGGTCGCCCTGCTTGCTGTTCTGTTCGCCTGCACGAGAAGAAGTCACGAGAGGGCTGAAAGCGCCTCAATCACAGACCCACCGACGTGCACAGTGACACTCGAGTGCGACTCGCATCGGGTCTCGGTACCAGAGCCGGTGTCCAGGATGTTCCCCCCGTGCAGCACCAGAACCAGGACGTGGGTTTTGGCCGACTGGAGACACTGCTGGGACGAACAGTCCTGCAGGTGAGGGGACGGGAGACGGACAGGAAGGACGCAGTGTTTAAAGGATGCTGAGAGAAGGTGAAGGGAGGAGACATTTAAAAAGACGTTTTTATCTCCATTAAAATGGTTTTGGAGAGTTTGAGTAAAACGCGGCAGTATTTCTACACTCAAACTGCACTTTACCATAAAAAGGAAGAAGAAGAAGAAAGAAGAAAGAAGAAAGAAGGAAGAAGAAGAGATGAATGCAGTGAGAACAAAGTGACGGGCGCTTCGCGTACCTCCATCTGCCTCTCCTCATTACTCATCATGGAGTACTCGCCGCCCGACTCCTGGTACAACATCTCTGTGGGAACACAAAGCCATTAGAGACACGAGGGGGGACGGCTCACTGGATCCGACGGGGACAGAAACACGGACCTTGTGCTTCGTCCGCCTCCATCGTCTCGATCTTGTCCATCAGGTCGTTGGAGCTCCACTTGGTGATCTCCTTGGCGAACATCTCCTCGTTGTCAGAGAAGTCCTCTGCGAGAAACACCGGGGGGCGCGATTAATGCACGACGTGGACCCTCAGCCTCAGAGGACATGTCCCTCCATATCAAATACAACGTGAAGCAGAAAACAACAGGAAGGAAACCTTGAGGTGCTGCACAGATGATATTAGTGGTGTAATACAAGGTAATCATCATCATCATCATCATCATCCGGGAGCCGAGCGGCGCTCCTCTTAAAACACGGAACGTTACCGTGCGCGTCGAAGAACTCGTCGTCCGTGCTGTCCTCGGAGTCTCGGGCGATGCTCTGCATCCTCCACTCCGAGATGCTCTGGTGAGACGGACTCCCTGCGGAGCAAAGTGCACCAGGTGATTCTCCGATGCGCACAAGCGCACTTCCAAACATCAGCCCCTCGAGTCCGGTCCTCACCGCCCCTCTTGGACGACCTGTTGGAGGACCTGGAGGACGTCGACCACTGCTTGGTGAGCTCCCCGCGCGTCTCCAGGGAGTCCCCCAGCTTTCCCCCGCCCCCGTCGGCCTCCGCCGCCGACCCCGGGGCCTCGGCCCCCGGCCCCTGGTCCTGGCTGGCGGAGGAGCCGCTGTTCTCGGCGCCGCCCTCGCTGTACTGGGCCATCTTCTTGGCCAAAGCCAGCTGGGGTCTCCAGCTCCAGCTGCCGGGATGTCCTCGATGGTCAGGCCGTACCACTCGTCCTGCCAGCACCACGCCTGCCGGTGGGGCCCGAAACATCACTTTACGCAGACCTGCAGGGGGGGGGCGACAAGGACTAGTGAGTTCTAGTGAGGAACAAATCCAAGTGTCTTGAGGACATCTCATCTTCATCATGAGTGCTGCCGTACGTACCCACGTCGTGTATGAAGCGCTCGATCTTGGACTGCATGCCCCAGTATCTGAACTCCACCTTGCACAGCTTGTAGGCGCACATGACGGGACACTCTCCGGCCTCCTGGTTGATCTCCTCGATCCAGTCGTCCGTCAGCGGGCCGCGCTTGGTTTTCACCGACTGGTAGAGCTTGGGGTCCTCTTCCACCAGGTACTCGTGAGGAGTGATGTAGTCCTTCACGATGTCTATGGGGTCTGCGGGGGGGGGGACAAGGTGGCATTAATCACACCAGCCTGCACAGCCTGACGCCCAGGTGTCTCAACACCTGCGAGAGCTTCATGATTCATCAGTATTCAAACGGCGTCGCGTTCTTACCCACGGTCCTCTGCCTCTTCTCGGCAGAAGACAAGTTGAAGACGTCCACTTGATTGCCGGTGTCCGGCTTGTAGTACGTCTCGATGTCGATGGAGAACTTCTCCACAAAGGGACACGTGTACCTGGGGAGACGAGAGACAAACGCACATCGTCATCAAAACCAAATCTGTGACTCCACGCGTCCTCCGTGGGTTTGTGCTTTGCTTTCTCTCTGGAAGTTGCTTCTGTCACTTGTATTGTTCTCTAATGGAGGACGGGGGGATTTTTAGGGGGCAGATGTGGATTTTGACGTTAATGCAACAGATTCCCTGAAGCGAATCCTCCAAAGCGATTTGGCCGTTTGTGGGGGAAATAATTAAATCCTTGAAGGGACACACCGAGCTGTCTATTAATCCACAAATGAAGTCGCCTGCGAGATATAAAAAGATGATCATTCAGCTGAAACTGTTCCAAACAAAGAAAAAGGCTCCATCAGCAACATCAAGTGAGTGTTATTTTATCAATTTACGATACCAGAAGTCATAAAAAGGGAAATCCATTAGCAATGTTTTATCACTAAGAGTTCAGCCCCTCTACTTTAAATGAGGCCAGCTGGCTGAAATCCCGTTATGTAATCGTGTGTGCGTGTGTGTGTGCGTGCGAGAGGACCGGCCCTCACCGGGTTCGGGTGTAGGGGTAAGCGTTCCAGGACTCCTCCTCCACCCGCAGGGCGGCCTGAGGCAGGATGGCACAGAACCAGGAGGGGATGTGTTTGCCGATGTGGTAGACCTTGTGCGTGTACTGACCCGACCCCCCCGGTCCGTCCTCGTAGGGCTTGTTCTCCAGGATCTCCACCCCGCTGCCCTCGCCACAGCTCTCCTCTCGGCTCTTCTTCTGCAGGGGGGGGACAAGAGGAACCGCTGGGATTCATCACAAATACAAATAAAAGCAAAACCCCCCCGATATCTATATATCTACTCTCCCCCCGGGGACCTGGACCCCCGTGGAGCTTCATGGATGGATGATGCGTCAGGAGGAAAGTGAGGAGCTGCAGAGCAAAACAAAAAGGAACTTGTTTTTTCTTTTCACGTCTTCTTCGCTCCTCCACGGATCTCTTCCCCCTCGTCTTCATCTCCTCTCTTTGACACCGAGCAGCGGCAGGAGGAAGGTCACTTCCTGTGGGGGTTCATAGCGTTCGGGCGACCTCCACTTCCTGCTTTCGCTCGATGGGCTGCCGGAGAAATGAGGCGTCGACTCGTCACTTCGTCGGGGAAGGTTTCATCAGCCTTCGGCCTCCAGCTTATGAAATGTGCTGCTTTTCTTTGGGGGTTAAATACGGTTTTAAAACCATCATCATTATGCAGATTGGAGCTTCTTTGCGTGAACATCCAGAGCCCAACGTGATGTACGCGTGACGCAGATCACCAGGAATCATCTCTCCCATGTGGCTTCGCCCGTAAACCTCTTGGTGTTTAAGCTTCGGTCGTATTCCTGCCGTCACACCTGTGATTGAAAAGCGCTTTCATTCCTTTCGCTGTGAAGCGCTGAGGAAACGGCGCCACGCGAATGCAAATGACGGCGATCGTTATTAACAGCAGGAGTGGGGTGACGGGGGTCAAGAAGGAGCGTTCCGATTGAACACGGAGCCCGTCGCTCCTCCAGACTTCAGGGAGGTGGGATCCGTAATGAAGGTCGGAGGAGGCAAACAGCTGGAAAATTGCTGTAATCCAGCAGGTAATGTAATTTATGCGAGGGGCCGAGGGCCTCAAATGACTTTCCTCGCGTGCGCCGCCCGCACGCCGTTTCTCCATGAATCTCCGTGAGCACGACGGATGTGACAGCTCGTTGTGATGCAGAGGGAATAAAACACGTCTGTCAAACCGTCACAGACGACCTGCAGCTGCAGTTTAAATGCAAGTGGGAGTAAAACCTTTCGTTTCCTCTGAGCTGCTTTACTTTTCCAAATAATCTCCACAAACATTTCCTCATAAGAACGATGTCATTTGATAAGAATTATAGGTAAAAAGCAGTTTCTATAACAATTAATGAACTCTAATTCCTTGTTTTTAGAGTCCAGTGACCAGAAGTCTAATATGTTAAATATGAAAAAAAATATATAATAAAAATGATTTATAGAAAATAACATTATCAATAATGAATGAATAGTGAATAAATATTTATTCAGGTTTAAATCAAGCCGTTCTTTCCTTTAATTTGTTCCATAGAATTTTTTTTCTAGGAATTTCATAAGTTATCATTTATTTAAAGAGTAGTGGCTCGATGAGCAGCGATGTCACGTGACTAACAGAGATCATCCAGTTTGAAACGAACACACAAAACTGGTTCCTAAGAGGAATAAATCAGCGAAGGAGCAGAAAGGTAAAAGAAGGAAAAAGAGCCGAGGGTCTCTGATCCGAGTCCTCCATCACCTGTCAGCGGGGGGGGGCGGAGGAAGCTCGTGCAAACGTTATCGCCCTGCACACACACGGCGCATCAGCCGGTCGCCGTCCCGCAGACGCCGCCCGCTCCGATGAGACGGAGACGCAGAGAGATGTGAGGGGGACAAGATGATGGACAGAATCAAGAGGACAGGACACGTCTTTCCCCCGTTGTCCCCCCCGTCAGTGTTTCCAAAATAAGGCTTCACTAAAAGTAAACAAATCTACTACGACACGGGGGTGTTCCTGTTATTGTGTCCACCCCGCGTACAGATGCGAATGACTTTAGGTGTCCCCGGTCACTCAGACGTTGTCATGGTAACGCAGACAGCCTCTCTCGTTTCGCCCATATGTCAAACAAATGATGCCACGCTGCAGCTGATGTCAGCAGTTACCGTGGTAACCGGCACTCCTGTGACACTGAGGAGGAGGCCCAGAAGAGTGTGTGTGTATTGATGTGCATGAGATTTCTCTGCATACTTTAGTCCATGTATGTGTTTGTCTTTGTTTTTACCTTTTGATTTGCTAAATAATCTTTGTTTTCTTCTTTTCTTTCTCTTGTGTGTTTATCTATACATCTTCACGAGAGCAAATCTGGAGGCATATGGCAGCACCATCTGGTCCGCCGAACAGCACCGGCCCGGTCACCATGTGACCATGTGACCCTTTGGCCCTGTCACCATGTAACCATGTAACCATGTGACCCTTTGGCCCTGGCACCATGTGACCATGTGGCCCTTTGGCCCTGGCACCATGTAACCATGTGACCATGTGACCATGTGGCCATGGCACCATGTAACCATGTGACCATGTGACCCTTTGGCCCTGGCACCATGTGACCATGTGACCTTATGGCCCTGGCACCATGTGACCCTTTGGCCCTGTCACCATGTAACCATGTGACCGTATGGCCCTGGCACCATGTAACCATGTGACCATGTGATCCTTTGGCCCTGTCACCATGTGACCTTATGGCCCTGGCACCATGTCACCATGTCACCCTGTGACCCTGTAACCATGTGACCCTTTGGCCCTGTCACCATGTGACCTTATGGCCCTGGCACCATGTCAACCTGTGACCCTTTGGCCCTGGCACCATGTGACCATGTGACCCTTTGGCCCTGGCACCATGTCACCCTGTGACCCTTTGGCCCTGGCACCATGTCACCCTGTGACCATGTGACCCTTTGGCCCTGGCACCTCGCTGCTCTGGTTTCTGGTCGTTGTATCACCAGGACGCCACCTTTAAACCCTTAACCTCCACCCTTCCCCTCCCCAGCCGGCCGCCCCACAGGGATTCCCCCCCCCCCCCGTTACCGTACCTGGATCATGTAGAGCTGAGCGATGCGGTACTCCTCCACGCTCATGGGCATGGGGATGCGGTACTCCTTGATCAGCATGGCGGTGCTCGAGTTGGGCCGACTCCGTGTGTTGGTGTGAAGCGGGCGGGCGCTCCTCTCTTGGGGGCGGAGCCTCTCTGCTACCCGGGCAGCATGCTCAAAACGACGAGGGTGGGGGTCATCACTATTCAGGCCTGGGGAGAGGAGACACACAAAACACGACTCCTTACGACGTAGGAGTAAAAAGGTTTAAGATTTACATTCCAGCTTACTTACAAAAGCAGAGGAGGAGTTTGCATGTTTGTCTCAAGGATTACCTCCCCCCTCCTCCCCCCGCCTCCCCCCGCCTCCACAGATCTGTTACAAGCTAATCCAGCGGCCGAGCATCATCCCTGAAATCTCCCAACAACCTAAATCCCAACGGACTCTGCAGGCTGGAGATTCAGCCAAGCGGAGTTAGTTTAACCCTTTCAGTTACTTTTCTAATAATACTTCTGTAATTTCATTTAAGAACATTTTAAATTGAATGAATGTATTTTATTAGGCTGTTACTATTTTGCGTAATGGTTTAGAATACTTATTCCATGAAAATAACATTATTTAAGACTCACATCAGACAGAAGTAAAAGTGAGGTCATAAGCTCTCCGACCGACGAGGTCACGAGTCACATGACCCTTAATCTGGGACTTAATAAAAAGGACTGTCCGTCTGATGCTTTTAACATGAAGGGAAAGAGGAGGCGACGTGTCAACAGGGCAGTGTGTGTGTGTGTGTCTGTGCGTGTAAGTGTGTGACCATCTGTGCATGATTAGGTTATGTATGTTTGGTCACGCTGCTGCAACAGATGAACCGTAGAGGTCAGGAAGTAGTGTGAGCAAAGCTGAAGGCTTCATTTACCTTTTTTTTCCAAAGACATTTTTGGACCAAACATATTTTGACTTTTTTTCCCAAAAACATTTTGGACCTAATATTTTTTACGATGAACATATATATATATATTTTTTCCCCCATCATATTTTTTTCCCACAATAATATTCTTAGATTTGTTAATTGTCTTGATATTTTACTTTTTTCTAAGAACATTTGACCTAAACATTTTTATTCCCCATGGCATTTCTCAACCTAATATTTTTAGACTTCACTTCCATGAAATGTTCCACCATAACATTCATCAACTTTTCTTTTGATGACATTTTTGGACCCTAATATTATTTTACTTTTTTCCCCAAAACATTTGACCTTTTTTTCCACAATATTTTTTTTACTTTTTTTCCATGTAATTTTCCAACCGAACATATATTGTTTTTTTGCAAAACATTTGACCTTTTTTGCCACAAAATATTTTCTAAAGACATAATTAAAATACTCCGGGCCATTTTTCCTGAGTTTATATATAAAACTTTAGAAGCTGAAAGACAAAAAGGTGAAGATAGTGATATCTATATTATATTATTATAATATTTAAGTCACCCTTTAGGGGATTTTCAGACGATACAACATTCTGAAAATCTTCTTGAGCCATTCTCCAACGTTGACATTTTAAATAGCGGTTTCCATTTATAAAATACCTCAAATGCGTTAAAAGATATTATAATTTAGAGCTACAACTGAAGAACCACAGTGAGTGATTTAATTCAAGGTGCTTTTGACAAACAATAGCAACAGGTTGTAAAACCGCATAACAACCTTATTGAATGAGCCCAGTGCTGCGATATAGTCACAGAGGGGAGAATCCAGTAAAGAACAAGTCCTTGACCCACAGAAGAAGTTCTATTCATAGCCGCACAGTAAATCCCCACCAGAAGGAGAGTCGGTCGAGAAGTGACACCCAAGCGGAGAGACGGAGGCTTTTCTTCACTCCCTTTTGTCTCCGTCAGCGAAGTGAGCCGCGAGTCAGCAGCAGAAATGAACAGCGAGGAGAAATGACGAGGTCACGTGATTAAGATCGTTGAGGAACACAGACGTTTGGGGTCTGTCGAGATAAGTAATTAATTAGCTGATTAATCAACGGCCAAAACAACGCAGCAAAATATGTAGGAAATAAATAAACAACAAAACAAAGAACTTTGATTATATTACGGCACAATTTTTCCCCTTCGAGCTTCTGATGTCATTATAACGTTAACGTGTGTGTTTAATACCCGGTAAGAAGCCACATTAGGTTCTGTTGTTCAGAACTCTCCTCTCATACGGCCGACGGGCCTTCAGACCCAAACAAAGTCCCCTCGGGACAATTTCCCACAGAGCAACCCAACCGCCGCGCGGGACAAATTGTCTCCCTGCTCCGCCGCGTCGCTCCGCCCGCTCTAATGTCCTCAACCGAAGATCGGCCTCCACGTGAAAACACCTCCAGGCAAAGCCGGCGGGAGGTCGTGTCCACGCGGTCGGACCCAAGAGGCCTCCCGGTGGAGCTCCTGGTCGTCTGGAGGAGGGGGACAGGCTGCCGGCTCGCCTCCGGCGTTCAGACTCCGGCCCATTAAACACGCCAGCCGCCCGCCGGACGCCCCGCCGATCCCCTGAGAACCTCCGGCCCACCGGCGGGACTCAGCCCACACCCGAGCTCCACCCGGGGGGTCAGCGGTGGAGCGCACACACCTCCGCGTCCTGTGTGAGCAGCACTGCGCCGAAAAGACCAACGTTAGAAGGACTCAAACCATCGGCCGTAACGTTACGGGCCTCAGGCGACAAAAACAAGCGGCTCAGATGATTCTAACCGGTGAACGCGCCGATGGGATTCCTCGGAGAAGCGGCGGCTTGCGGCGGGAACGAGCAGAGTCAGCGCTTTTATTTTGGGAGAAATCAGAACAGGTAGATCTTCACTCATGTGTCTGTAGCACATGAAGACGATCCAAAGCGTCGGCACGAGGAAAAGCAATCACACAGCGGCGTTACGGCGAGGACAGAGAAGAAGAGCCGGAGCGAGTAGATCCGCACGCGTGTGAGAAGCAAAGCTACTAGAACCTCCTCAAATAAACGTCAATATTTACAGCACGTGACACATTCTGGGGCGTCGGGGGGCCAGAGGCCGCCGGACACCGCGGCGTGACGCATTCCGCTCAGCGGCGAGGGGAGGGGAGGGAACGGGGGGGGGGGGACGTTTGCTCATTCAAACCTGCTGTCTTCATCATCATCATCATCATCAGCTGGTTCAGAGCTCATCTACGATCGTCGGGTTCAGGTGACGTCCGACGTCTCCTCGTGGATCAGCGCACGTGGCTCCACGGCAACAACTTCACCCAATGCGCCGCTGCCCCCCCCCCGACCTGCAGATCCTCAGCAACCCCCCCCCGCCCCTCCCTCTTCATTCACGCTGCGGTTTATTTACCGTTTTCATTTACGCCGGAGCACCGATCCACCGGGCCGAGGTCCCCCCCCACCGCAACTCGCTAAACCCTCACTGTGAAATAAGAGAAGGATTCGACGCTCTTCCCTCCTCCTCCTCGTCTTCTTCCTCCGTCCAGCTCTGCACTGTTTACCCCCCCCCCTCGCCCCCCCTCGCTGTCTCCAAGCTCTGTCTCCATGGAGACGCATGAGGCTGAAGCCCGATTGGTGCAGTCGACAGTGATGCGGCCCGCCGGATTGATTGCCTCCTCGGTGAACATCGCTCTCCGTCACCGAGGGGGGGGGGGGGGGCGGTTCTCCTCCCATGATCCTCCTCATCGAGTTCGTGTCAGACAAACGTACCGGAGCACGAGAGCAACATCGAGCCCGTGACAGTGAATATTATTCTGTAGGGGGGGGGGGGGGGGGGGGGGGCGCACAGAGCTACATTTGTAATTAGTAGGAATCGGTTTTTAATGGAATTTAATTTGCTAACAGACTCCTTCAGACCGTCCAGGAACCTCGTTATTGTTCGTTTAGACGATATTAAATCAAAACTCGCTTTCCATTTCTTCTACTGAATAAAGTCGGATGGACACAATTCTCCATTAAATCTGGCAAACAAGAAGTTCAAAGTCACCTTTTCAAGTGTCTACTCTTTTTTCCAACATTTACAAGATATTAATGATGTAATGTTAATGAAATAGAAATAAAGGAAACAGCAAATCTTCACACTGGAACTAGAAATCATTTTGCACTTTAACAATAGAAAATAAGCACGAACATTGTTGTCGGCACAAACAGCTCAGCGGCTAAAAGCTCTTTAAACGCGTACGTGATGAACTCATGTTGAACTCATTGGACAACGCGCACGTAGCCTCCGGACGCTCTCACCGCGGCGTGGTTACGGTGTGGATGACGTGACGGCGTTGCCATGGTTTCAGACTTGGAGACGAAGGAGTCGGTCGAACACACACACACACACACACACACACACACACACACACACACACACACACACACGCGCGAGTTCTCATCTTCTCGTCCACCGGAGAGAACGAGCGCGTCTCTGCTTCGGGTGACGAGAGGACGACTCGTTCCCGGCGTCGCTTTAATCACATCCAGCCGACGCGTCCCAGCGGGTTTCAGCTTATAAATAAACCACCTGCAGCCCGACGGCTTCTTCTGGGGTTCGAAGCTCCAGAGGCTGATGGACGCGCTTCACCACAAAGCGCAGCAGCAGCATCTGGTTCTGTCTGCAGGGATCCTCACACACACACACACACACACACACACACACACACACACATTTTATCGGAGCATGAGCAGAACACACCTTAACAAAATCAACCTTTGCAGGACGTGAACATCTGGTCCTGCTGCAGCTGTTAATCTGTGATGTTGTCGAGTTGTCTGTCTGCACACCTGTTCCTCGTCCCCCCGGTATCAACCAGCGACCCGGGCCCAGCCCCCCCCCCCCCCACCGTCCCCCCCACCGACCCCCCCGGCTGAATTTGCTGGTGGATTCCAACGGTTTTAGGTTTCAATGTTGTACCAAACGGTGACGTACTTCTCATCTCATGGCTCTTGTATTGAGGTTGAATGTCTCCATATATATTTTATTTATACTTCTACTGCACGTTGATTTATTTGGAAACATTTATCTGATAGCTGTAGCTACTAATTTCATATCTAAATAATCAAAAGTTAAGCAAATAAAATGCATGTTCAAGATTAAAGCAGATCTAGTTTGACTCATTTCTTTAAAGCTTCTCAGATTGTTTCACTCACCAAAAGGTGAAAAAAAAGAATCATTTACTATTTCCAAAGAAAAAACATAAATCTGTGGAGCAGAATTTCTTTCTTACGTCATTAAATCTTTTAAAAAAGGCATCAGGAGACCAACTGGAGACCCTTCAGAGGAGTCTGCTCCTTCAGCGTGAACACCTCCTCCTCCTCCTCCTCCTCCTCCTCCTCCTCCGATAAGCGGACTGAATTGTTTGATGAGACGTCACTGACCTGTGGTCCATCCTCAGCGATGGCTTCCTCCCTTCCTTCCTCCCTTCCTTCCTTCCTTCCTCCCTCCTCCCTGTGAATGAGAAACAGCCCGGATGAGGCTCAATCACATCCTGCTAATGTCCATTTAACGAGTGTGTGGTCGGAGGCGTCCATTAAAACACGGAAGCCACTATTTCCTTCCTCGGTGCAGTTTGAGAAACACGGGACGCAGAACTGTCATCAACTCCGCCCTCAACCAGGATCTCCGCTCCCCGAAGGACGCCGCACGCCGCCCGCCGCCCCGACGACATCGTCTCAGTCAAAACATCCCAGCACACGGAGGAGGGAGAAGGCTGCGTGGGCAGCGGATGAGAGTGAACGCGGCCGTGACGCGGCGGCTGGGTGATGAGAGAGGACGAGCTATTTTTAGCTCAGGGCGGCGGTGGAGGTGGAGGGAGGGAGGGGGGGGGGGTCGGGGGGGGCAGGGAGCAGCGTGATGGCGGAGGGGGTGAGATGTGATGCTTCTCAAAATGCTCTGCTTTTCTACACTCGGGTAAATCGCGGCGATGCATCACTGTCTGGGGGAGGGGGGGTGATTGGCGGGGGAAATGCCTCTTTCGGCGATGGACACCTTGGACTGGCCGCCAGACCAGGGCAGAGGCATAGAGAGGTTCGGTCAGATTAAATGGTCAAATCCATGCTATTGAGTATATGCTGTCGTTCTGACGCAGACGGGAAACAGCTAACCTCGCTCTCTTTCAACGATCTGTCAATTTGCAGTGAGTGTGTAATAAGTGTGAGGTCGGGAGACCGCGCCCAAACGTATTTGTGTCAATCGCACCAATCGCGCTACATTGAATGACTTGTCCAAATTGACTTCTT